ACCGACGGCATCTTCACCCGCCGCGCGGCGCAGGCGCTGAGACACCCGCCCGTACCGGGACCCGTATCTCTGTGTGTGTCTCTGTATATGTGTCTCTCTGTATCTCTGTGTGTCTCTGTGTTTGTGTATGTGTCACTGTGTGTGTCTCTGTGTGTCTGTGTGTGTCTCTCTGTACCTCTGTGTGTGTGTATGTGTCTCTGTGTGTCTGTGTGGGTGTCTGTGTGTATGTGTGTCTGTGTGTATGTGTGTCTGTGTGTATGTGTGTCTGTGTGTATGTGTGTCTGTGTGTATGTGTGTCTGTGTGTATGTGTGTCTGTGTGTATGTGTGTCTGTGTGTGTCTCTCTGTGTGTCTGTGTGTATGTGTGTCTGTGTGTGTGTCTCTGTGTGTCTGTGTGTATCTCTGTGTGTCTCTGTGTATGTGTGTGTGTGTCTGTGTCTCTGTATATGTGTCTCTCTGTATCTGTGTGTGTGTATGTGTCTCTGTGTGTGTGTGTCTCTGTGTCTGTGTGTGTATGTGCCTCTGTCTGTGTCTGTGTGTGTATGTGTGTCTGTGTATGTGCCTCTGTCTGTGCCTGTGTGTGTATGTGTGTCTGTGTGTATGTCTCTGTGTGTGTGTGTGTCTCTGTGTGTCTGTGTGTGTCTCTGTGTGTCTCTGTGTGTGTGTGTCTGTGTGTATGTGCCTCTGTCTGTGTGTGTATGCATGCCTGCGTGTGTATGTGCCTCTGTCTGTGTCTCTGTGCGTCTGTCTCTCTGTATATGTCTCTCTGTGTGTCTCTGTGTGTCTGTGTCTCTGTATATGTCTCTATATCTCTGTCTCTATATCTATCTGTGTGTCTCTGTATGTGTCTCTGTCTCTATATCTGTGTGTCTGTCTGTGTGTGTGTCTCTGTGTGTCTGTCTTTGTCTCTGTATGTCTCTCTGTGTATCTTTGTGTTGTCTCTGTGTATTTGTGTCTCTGCGTCTCTATGTCTGTCTGTGTGTATCTGTGTGTCTCTCTGTGTATCTGTGTCTCTCTGTATTTGTGTCTGTGTGTATCTGTGTCTCTCTGTATTTGTGTCCCTTGTGTGTCTGTGTGTATCTGTGTCTCTGTGTTTCTGTGTCTGTCTCTATTATCTGTGTGTCTGTCTCTGTATATCTGTCTCTGTGTATCTGTGTCTGTGTATCTGTCTGTCTGTCTCTGTATATCTGTGTCTGTCTGTCTCTCTATATCTGTCTCTGTGTATGTGTGTCTGTTTGTGTGTGTCTCTGTATCTGTGTATCTGTCTCTATGTATCTGTCTCTGTGTATGTGTGTGTCTCTGTATGTGTCTGTCTCTGTATATCTCTCTGTGTATGTCTGTGTGTCTCTGTATCTGTGTGTCTGTCTCAGTGTATCTGTGTCTGTATCTGTGTCTCTGTGTATGTGTCTGTGTGTCTCTGTATCTGTGTGTCTGTCTCTGTGTATCTGTGTCTCTGTGTATGTGTGTGTGTCTCTGTATCTGTTTATCTATCTCTGTATACCCGTGTATGTCTGTCTGTGTCTGTCTCTGTGTATCTGTGTCTCTGTGTGTGTGTCTGTGTGTCTGTCCCTGTGTATCTGTCTGTGTCTCTGTGTGTGCACCATCCACCCACACACACATCCCACAGTGCCCTGGAGAAGGTGTGTGGCAGAAAAAGCACATCAGGCTCCTCCAGGAAGCTTCAGCCACTGGCCCCATACTCTGCTTTTAACAACAAAATGCTGCAGATACATTTTCCAACACCTTAAAAGCAAGAAACTATGAAAATAGTTTTACAAGTAGAGATTCTTTATTAAGAATCACCCAAAACCAAGGCACACATGAACGGGCAGCTTAGCACATTGCTGGGCTCCTTGTTTTCACAGACCTTGAAGAAAACTAGTCAAGAGTGATCAGCTTAAGAAATAACAAGCACCTTAGCTCAAGATTAAAAAAAAAATCACTCCTGCTCACCGGGATGCCCCATGCACAGATCTCACCTGCAACATTCTACTGCAGCAGAAGTTGAATACCAAGACTAAACCTTTGTGACACTACCAAACCATGTCCTAGGCATCAGGTTCACTAAGGGACTCACTCCAGAGCAAAACCAAACACCACAGTAGTTCATGTGGTTCAAAGATTAATCAGCAGCATTAGGGAAAGCACTTTTCTCTGTAGCTCCAGTCTGTATTAACAGCTGCTGTCATCTTTGGGGTTTTGTTTGGGGTTCTTGGATGTTAATTTTAAAGGCACAAACCCAATTTTCCATTTTTACCTTTGAAAGCTTTAAAAAAATTGTCTCTAATTTTAAAGAGAACTAAGTCATATTAGTACCTTAGATTCCTCCTTTCCAAGAAAAGTCTCCCAAGTGTGCAAGTTTGATTATCTATGGATCCGTAAGAAAAAACTAGGTACTATATTGTACAATGAAAACAGAGGCTTCCTCCCCAACATAATGCAAGCCAATCACTTGGATTCTCTGCCAAATCTCTCCTGCTAGTAAAGATCACCTAAATCAGATGTTCCTAAAAAGTTCTAGCCCCAATAGCATGCACAGTTGAAGGTCATTTCTACGTTATTTAGCAGAATTTAAAGAATCAGAACAGGAAGAATCATGTACTATCGAATCCTATGTTCACAGACATCTTCAATAAGTTGGACGTACGCCGTGACTAGCAAAATGTCAAGTGAAAGTTGCCTTGTGCAGCAACTTTAGACATGCAGCTCTGATACCTTTTAATACCTTGAGCATTTAAGAAAAATGATCCATGGAAAAAAAAGAGGGGTTGTATAAAACGTGTCTTCAAATTCAAGTCGATTTGCAATACATCCTGCTCACCTGTACAGTGCAATCCAGAAAGAAACTATGCCTTTTGCTACCAGTGTGAACTGCTAAGACCAGCACGGTGAGCAGCACGAAGAAACCAAGGCTGTGACAGACTAGAAAACCAAGTCTTTTCCATTCGTGTCAGTACAGTTTTTAATCGGGTGAATGCCAGCAAACTCGTGGCGGCTCCTTCCTGCCCTCACTTCTCCTTCTGCAGCTGCAAGGGAGCATCGCTCTCCGGGGCCGTATCTAAAGAGTCCGCGATCTGGCCGGAGAAAATTGCTTCCAATCGCTCATCGATCTCCGTTTCTTCCCGGAACACACACCAGAGCAACAGCCCCGTGCAGAGCACGCTGAGCGGCAGCACCTTCGCCCACGGCCGCTCGTGGTCGCTGCCCATGGACCGGCTGACGCTCCAGGCGCGCGGACTGGCCCTGCTGCCGGAGAAGGGAATGGGCCCCGTGTCCTC